TGGTTGCTGTAGCCACACTTCTAATTGAAAAAACAAGTAAGAGCACCTTTAGTGATTTTCAGGTTAAGTCTCATGCTCGGTATTTTTTTATTTTTTTAATATAAATATTAATATTATTAATGTAATTTTTACTTTAAAAAAATAATAATAAAAGGAGATAATTATATCGAAAGAGTACATCTCGTCAAACAATTTCAGCTGTGCGTAGAAAACACAAAATTCATAAAATAAATATTGGTAGTTAACGAAAGAAGTGGCAAAATCCGGAAAGAATCACAGGGGCGCGAAAGATAAGGAATGGAAATTTCATAGCAAAAAAATCAAGAAATTGGAACACAAGGAAACTGAAAGTGTAAAACCAAAGCTTAGTCAGAGTCCAGACAACTTGCTATCTATTCTATTCTGCGTCTTTATCCTCATTTCTCTTTTTTCTCCAACTTACTTTCCCTCTTCATTCTTCCCCTTTTAAAACTCCTCCAAAACCAGCAAACCCAATGCGCATTTCATTGCTTATTGTTTGACGACGCATCATGGCCAACGGGAAGACTGATGGGATTCTGCGGTTGAAGGCTTGGGTACAGTGCTACGATTGGGGTAGATTCGGGGCGGACTCGCAGGTGGCGAGGCTGTTGACGCTCAATTCTGAGGCGGAGGTGGATCCGGAGATGCCTTATGCGGAATTATGGATGGGGACCCATGAGTCTGGACCCAGTTTTGTGGTGTCGGACCTGTCGGTGGAGGAGGAGAAGGGTGTTAGTTTGAAGGAATGGATTGGGAAGAACCCAAATGTGCTTGGGAAGAAGGTGTTGGAGAAGTGGGGTTATGATCTCCCCTTTCTGTTCAAGGTATGGAGTTTCATGTCTGTGATGGGGTTCTATAATTTTCGTTTGTTTTAGGATCTGATCTTAGTTGATTGAATTGCACAAGACAATTTCAAAGATTTCATCTTTAAATTGTGGAAATTGACCCTGATAATCTGTTTTTTGCGTCTAAATTTCCAGGGATTTTCATATTATTTGACTTAAATTCAAGTGCAATTGAAATAAATCTGGTGTGTTGTAGGTACTTTCTGTGGCGAAAGCATTGTCAATTCAAGCACATCCAGATAAGGAATTGGCAAGAGAATTGCATAAATTGCAACCACATCTTTATAAAGATGACAATCACAAACCTGAGATGGCTTTGGCAATTACAGAGTTCAAGGCTTTGTGTGGATTCATTAGTCCTGAGGTGGTACAATAATCAGGTTCAGTTTTTAGCAGAACTCTCTCTTGGGATTTTTTTTGTACACTTGATCATGTGCCCTCTTGCACAGGAACTTAAGGATGTGCTTCATGATGTTCCCGAGATCGTAGAACTGATTGGTACTGCAGAAGCAAACCGAGTCATGAATATACACAAGCAAGATAGGGAGGAGAAAGTAAAATCTGCACTACGCTCTACATTTACCCAACTCATGTCAGCTAACGAGGAGATGACAACTAAAGCAATTTCAATGCTCAAAAGTCGTCTACAACTTGAAAGTAAGGTCAGTAATCTATTCTAACAATTGTATTTTTCATGCCTCTACAGCATACAGCCAAATCTAAGGTCATTCTTAATTATGATCAGTCAGGGTCTGAAAGAGAAACCTTTATGTGATTCTTCTCACAACTTAATCCTGTATTCCATATTCACCTGTTAAAGTTTTGTACTTTGTACCAAACTCGGGTTCTTCGCATCTAATCAGATAATTTTCACTTAATAATATGAAACCAGTCTAGTCAACTTCTCTAGCCTTATTCTTAAGCTATGATTTGTAGCACTTAAATTTTCCCTTTGCATCAGTTGAGGCGATTGACAGACAAGGAACAGTTGGTCTTGCTCTTGGAAAAGCAATATCCAGGTGATATTGGTGTCATATCAGCCTTTTTCCTTAATTATGTGAAACTTAACCCTGGTGAAGCATTGTATCTTGGAGCAAATGAGCCTCATGCATACCTGAGTGGTGAGTGCATTGAATGCATGGCAACTTCAGACAATGTTGTGCGGGCAGGCCTTACTCCCAAACATCGTGATATCCAAACTCTTTGTTCCATGCTCACATATAAGCAGGTATTGTGATCAAGTTTTTTATTGGGATTTTTCTTTAGTCTATTTTTACAGCTTACACTGAGATGATGTTTACCTCAAAGGATGAGATTCATTTTTATCTCACCGATCATGGAATAGATTGTGCATATCAATACCAATACACAGAACATTTTGTCCTTATAATTGTAACACTGGATTGTGCATGTTTCTCTTCCAGGGCTACCCAGAAATCCTTAAAGGATTCCCTTTGAGTCCATATATAACAAGGTACCTCCCACCTTTTGATGAGTTTGAGGTTGATCGATGCATTCTTCCCCGAGGTGCATCAACAATTTTTCCAGCAATCCCTGCTCCTTCCATTTTCCTTGTTTTGGTTGGGGAGGGAACGTTGCATTCTGGGTCGTCCAAAGATGTAGTTGCCGAAGGAGATGTGCTGTTTGCACCAGCCAACACTGAGATCATGCTAAGCACTAGTTCTGAGCTGCAGCTATACAGAGCAGGGGTAAATAGCAGGTTCATCCATACATTGTGAGCCAAGAATAGCGTAGCACCAGCCTTCAGGCTTAGAGTATATAATTTATTAATTTTGCCTCATGCCATATCCCTAGCAATATACATTTATTTTTTATTTATGTAGTGTTAGTACTTACAGATATATACAATAAAAGTTGTCCGTCTCATCAGTCACATTTTGCCATTTTAGTTGTATTCTGATTCCTGAACAGCTGCAATTGGTAAGAACATTCTCGTTCTTGATTCTCAAGTGTTGTACGAACTGGAAAATGTTCAATGAATACACATTCAATATAGGCCAAAGCCTCTATTTGCACCCTCCATTTATTTTTTATTTGCGGTTAACACCTTCCAAAATTTTTTCTCCTTATTTACACACTTAACTTTTCAAAACCCATAAAAAACCCAACATTTTAATGCGCCGTCACAGTATCGTTACAAAATTCATTATGTAGCACCCAAAAATTGACGTGGCCACTATGTGCCGTTAGTAATCCAATGTGGATGCCTTTTTTGATGATGTGGTTTATTTAGGCATTATATGATATTATTTATCTAATGTGAACGATTTTTTGATGATGTGAGATCATGACATGGCATAATTTTTATGTGAAAATCTCCCAACCAAAAAAAAAAAATAAAAAAAATAAGAACAGGAGCTCTGGGTTCTGAAACCTAGAGCTGGGTTCCTTGTGAGGAACCCATATCGGGTTCGAGGTGGGTTCCTCCGGAGGAACTTGATCTGGGTTCCTCCCGAGGAACCCATGAGGAACCCGATCTGGATTCCAATCACCTAAAACTGTTCATTTCTCCACCACTCATGAATACCAACTCCCCTCCATCTCATTTCCATATATGTTGTTGCAAAGATACAAATGAAATGTGACAAAAAACACAAGCTAGCGACTTTGTCAAGTTGCAACAAACACAGAAAATAAGAACAACTTGGAAGAGCATATATCTTCTCAAATGTTTAGAGTGATGAATTTTCCTGTTAAGAAGCACACAGTTGGGTTCCTCATGGGTTCCTTACGAGGAATACGAGGAGCCCAGCTGGGTTCCTAGTCGTGAGGAACCCAGATCGGGTTCCTCACGAGGAACCCAACTTGAACCCGATCTGGATTCCACACGATGAGGAACCCAAAGTCGGGTTCTTCATGGGTTCCTCCGGAGGAACCCAACTCGAACTCGATCTGGGTTCCTCCACGACGAGGAACCCAGAGTCGGGTTCCTCATAGGTTCCTCCCGAGGAACCCAGCTCTGGGTTCCAAAACCCAGAGCTCCTATTCTTATTTTTTTTATTTTTTTTATTGGAAGATTTTCACATAAAAATTATGCCATGTCATGATCTCACATCATCAAAAAAATCATTCACATTAGATAAATAATATCATATAATGCCTAAATAAGCCACATCATCAAAAAAGACATCCACATTGGATTACTAACGGCACATAGTGGTCATGTCAATTTTTGGGTGTCACGTAATGCATTTTGTAACGGTACCGTAACGGCGCATTAAAATGTTGGGTTTTTTACTAGTTTTGAAAAGTTAAAGGTGTAAATAAGAAGAAAAAATTTTGCAAGGTGTTGACCGCCAAAAAAATAAATAAATAAATGATGCAAATAGGGGCTTTGGCCTTCAATATATTGAAAAACAACAGGGCGATCCACTACAAATATGAGCTCCTTGTCTTAGGAACTATTCCAATTTTGTACGACTCAACACCTATTCGATAGTTTATATTACATAATTCAAACTGTTCTACACTTTAATATATACTCAAAATTTAAAATTGAGAACACATGTATCATGGTAAAATTATGATACATGTACGTATAACGAGTTCATAAGATCACTAGAATTAT